GGAGCCGCCGAGCCGGGAGGAGGCACGAGCCCCAGACACAGCCTTGGCCGGGTGGGGTTCGCGCACCCCGCCCCTGCCCACCCAGACCCTGGGACCCTGAGCCTCGGGCCCGAGCACCCCGAACCCAAGCCTGGGACCCAGAGCCTGGGACCTCGAACTGCCACCCCGTTCAGGGGACCCCGCGCACCCCGACCCCGACCCACTCAGCCCGGGACCCCCGGTCCCCAGGCGGGACCGCTGCGTCCGCGTCCCCTCCCCCGCCGTGGGTGGGTGGGTGGGGAGTGGGGCGGGCAGAGGCCCCGCACCCGCGTTCCCAGCTTTGTTTCTCTCGCGAACTGCTTGGCGCCAGGGTTCCGCCTGGCCCGGCCCGGCCCGGTCCCGCTCCCCGCCGACAGGTGCGCGCCCCGCAGCCCCCAGCCCCGGCCCTGCCCAGCCGGGCGGCCCGGGATTGTGGAAACCCTGGGAAACTGGTTCAGGTCCAGGTTTTGCTTTGATCCTTAAGAAGAGAAGAAGCTGGAGCGGCGGACGCGGGCCCGCGGCGCGGCGCGCAAGGGAGTATGTGGAAGCGGCCCCTGCGCTGCCCCGCGCGCCCCGCGCGCCCCTGAGAGCCCGCGCCCCGCGCCCCGAGCCCCGATGCTCCTCCTCGGCCTCCTCCTGCTGACAGCCGCGCTGCCCGGCCGAGCTCCCGGCGCCCGGGCGGAGCCCAGCCTCGGCCTCGGCCTGGGCGGCAAGTTCCAGCTCTCCGGCGCCAAGGAGCAGAACGGTGAGTGCGCGGGCCGGGCTGGGGCGCCGGAGGCCCGAGGTCCCCGCGGGTTTGCAGCTCGGGGTGCGGGTGCGGAGCGGCCACAGACGTTGGAAGGCGTGCGGGGCCCTAGCCCCCAGGCTACCTTGGGGAGACCGGGACAAACCTGCCCGGGTGGGAGGAGCGGGCGCTCCCCGTGCTCTGAGTGCAGAGGCTCCCCCAAAATTTGAGTCCAAAAATGAATGAGTTGGCGCGCTGAATTTAGCGCTGGGGGGTTTCTTTGGGGTGGGGTGGTGGTCTTGGTGGTGGGAAAGAGCCTTCGCCGCATTGATTAAAGCACTTTAGGTGGAAAGGCGCCAGTTAATAAGTAGATAAGAGACACACGGGTCAAGAATCTGTGTGCACTTTCTAGGGGGATTAAAAACGCATTTCTTTTGCACTTTACTTAGTTTTCTTTTTTAACGTGCCCTGGTGCTGTGAGGCCCCTCCTTCTGGTGGTGTGGTTTTTTGTACGTGTTAGTGAATGACTGCTATTTTGTGTGTGCTGGAAGCGACCTAATCCCGCATAGGAAATGAGAATTACTTTCAGCTTTCAAGTGTACCTGAAATGTTTAGAAAACTCTCAGATGCAAGTTCCCTTGGGCCGGGATTGCACAGAGCTGGAGAAAGGCTCCTTTCATAAAACCAGGGAGGCTTCGGGGTGTGTAATTTGCTTAGCCTCTGAACCCCATATGATTTACATCATTCAATTTCTGAACTCTTTTCCTCTTGATCTACCATTATGAAGTCACTTTTGAGAATCCTTTGTAAATAGAAATTTTATACCGCACATGAAACCAGTGTTAACATAGGCTGTCTAAAATTGGAATATTAAATGCCCTGTTTATAAGTAGTGGCTCTTACTTGAAAAGAAATATGTTTTGGCGTTGGCTTCCTCTGTTTATGCGCAGGGAGGCTGGCCCCGTGCGAAGCCCCCGTCAGGTGGGGTGCTCACGAGCAGCACACTCCCACTCGGCAGTGTCTCAAAGGCGCCTTGGGAAGTATTTCAGAACTTCAGTTCTGTGGTGTTCATCTGCTGTGTTCAACGGCAGAAGACACACAAAGCTCTGGACTGCCAAAACAGATGCCACTACGGTTTCCTGGGATGTCGCTGGCACTGGTTACTCCTGTGCCAGCGCGTCTGTCAGCCGGTGTCAAAGCCACTGCTCCTGCAGGCGCACTGCCCTGGTGGCGCGGGGCACCTGCAGACTGCTGATCAAAGGGCGGCAGAAAGCTCTAGTCCAAAGACCCGCTCAAGGTTGGGGAAAGGGATCAAAGGAGCCACAGCACCAGCTGTGCCCAGGCAGCAGCAGATCAGAACCTTTGTTCTTTCCCATGTAAAGTGAGTGGTCCGTTCAAAATTATGCAACTGATGGGGCAAGCTTCTCTGTACCATACAGTGGCCGCGGCCTCCTGTCCCACCTAACCCTGCTGTGTCCTGGCACCTCGGGGACTCCCTGGATAGCTGGGCCACTTTGTCCTCTCCTTGTGCCCCATTGCCATCATGTTTGCAGTGGACCCCTGGGCTTGCAGGGAACCTGCAGGCACTAACTGCTTAAACAGTTGGTTCACACCCTCCAAAGAGGGGGTTCCTTAAAACAGGCCACAGTACTGGGTTGTGATTCCTGACATGTAGGATGCTAAAAATAGTCTAGCTGTTTCCTGACCTGTGGGCAGAATATGGAGCCATTGGCTCTTGGAGGGTTGGCCCCAGGATGTGAAGGAGAGAAACTGCTCACCTTGGAGTTTTCAGCTTAAGGAGAAGTGGGACTGGCCAGCACTAGGGGGCAGTATAGAGCTATTTTTTGCACGTGTTCAGCTTGCATTTCATGTGGCTTCAGGGTTCCAAGATTTGAGGATAACAGGTGGACACTGAAGAAGATTCCCTTTCAGTGGGACCAGATTGGCCGGAATAGCAACTTCTGCCTCGGCCTCTTCCCTTTCTGTGGTAACATGTTCCATTTCCTTATTTGGCTATTTCTTGCCTTCCTACAGAGTTACGGTTGATTGTTTAATTGTCTTGTTGCTGTTTCAGTTTTGACAATTATCTCTTTCTGCAAATTCTGACTTTTTCCTAAGAGGTGAAAAAGGCCACGAGCCCAGTTTGTGCAATGTACCGTTTTGCAAAAGATCCTCCATGTGGCAAACAGGAGGTGACCAGGTGGATCTGTCCTGAACGGAGGAGCTCCTCCCCGCAGGCCCTCAGCACGCGGCTGCTGTCCCATCCTGACTGCGCCAGCTTCCCCGGGGCTCATTCAGCTGAATTCCCAGGCCTGCTCCGCCTCAGTGATACCTTAGTGTCAGCAATGGAAACTGTGGCTGGGGCTCTGCTGTCGCCAGTGCCAGGTGTGTGACACTGGACACGACTCACCTTGAAGGACCAGGGTCATCTGCCCATTGCTTTTTGATGCACGAGGACCTAACTTGACACTTGCCTGTGAAAGTCATCTTAGCCTGCCCTGGTAACATTTGCTTTCTTTCTCCTTTTTTTCATTTTCCTCTTCTCGTGTTTGTTCTTTCTTCCCAGGGCTGTGGCCCTAGCCCAGAGCCTCCTGCCTGCGAGGCATGAGCTCAGCCGCAGCACCACACTGGGGCTGCGCTGACCCTCCTCCTTATCCCTGAAGCCTGGCACATAAAACAGGTGTCTCCAGATGTATCTGAAGAGATAAAAGATAGCAATTGCGTGAAGGGGTTCTTGCCTCTAAACTTCCTGTATGACTGTGGGGAATTACTAATATCAGGACACATGGATTTAGGGGAGAGTATCTACCACAAAGCATTAAGTTCGGGGGTAACGCTTCCCAGGTGTGCCGCAAGGAGTCACACACATTGTTGGTGGACCGACCAGTGCTCTTATACCTTGTGATGTGGCGAGTGACCTTAAATTCCCAAGACCTGACACGTGTTGCTTTCTTCTCCTGCTTTCCTTGACCAGGGTGTCAGGGTTATCCCGTGAGCCCCGCGATGCGTACGTCCTGCCCCCCAGGCTTGTGTGGGCTGTGGGGTGGTGTACGTGGACACCATGGTCTGCTGGCAGTGCCTTCGGCTTCTGTGCTGCGCCTGCATTTCCAGAGCCAGCTTTTCCTTCCTGCTGCGGCTGCCAGTGAGCCTGTGCCTGACAAACCATGCCCAGTGCCACCCCTCTGAGGTGGCAGCTCTAAAGCTATTTCCTTGAGAACCAAATGACAGTCTTAGAAGGGGTCCTATGCATAAGCTCTGGCTGAAGCCTAGAGTGACTTTTCTGCAAGCCGGTCTGTAAGTTTTAGTGCATAGCCCTTGTGCCATGTATGTGCCACCTAGACACTTCTCTTCTAAGACTCCTCTTCTGAGGTCATGTGCCAATTGTCTGCAAATGGCTTTTCGGGTCACACACTAGATTTTCCCAACTGTATCATCTGACAGGTTCTTGTCTCACACCCCAGCATTTCAGCTTTGTCTTTTCTTAGCTCATCCTTCCTAAAGTTCGCATCTCACGGATTTTT